TGGGAGCAATGGCCGCCTCCGCGATTTTCGTGAAGACACTGGGCGACAGGGCCAGCCCAAAGGGTAAGACTTTGTACTGAAATGCCCGCCCCTCGAACGCAAAGCGAAGAAACGGTCTGTGTTGAGGAAGAATCGAGACATGAAAGCACTAGCGGCGCCAGGAATTTGATTGTAGGTGGGCCTCCAGAAAACTGGATGGGCCAGTTAAAATAAGCAAAAAAAAAAAAAAAAACGGGTTCCCCTTCATCTCCGTTTCAGCGCTTTTCTGCGGCACTAAGGACAGCGGCTCAGTAGCCTACCTGTGTGGCTCTTGTGTCGCTATCCTCAGCTCAGTGCAGTAACGTTAGCCTAACTGGGGGGTCGCACACTGGACAAGAAGCGCAGCGCTGTGTCGCGTCTAGGACAACTTGAGGTATCGCACACTGGACGCGCACTTTCTCAGTTTATGGCCAGCAATACTGTTATGTTTAAGGACATTATGGAATTAAGATAATGTCTGTACTATGTTATGATTGTACTGTACAATTAAATACAATCGTTGCTGACTTTGCAGTCTGAACACTTTACCTCAGAGTGTCCGTTAACTGAATGAATTGAGAATATCAGCTGAAAATTCGATAACATCAGCAATTTTCATTCAAGCAGCTGATTTCTGTAAATGAATATAAAACTAAATGTATATTGCAGCACAGGGTGAAGTCAGTATATACATTAACGACGATTTGAGACAAATACATTTAAATTTCATATAAAACAAATGGCGCTCTGTGGCGCGCCAGGATTTTGAACAAGGTCCTGAGCTGTTGCTGGGTGCCGCAGACAGACGACGAATGGCGCCGCCGGTGTGTACACTCATAGAGAATAATTTGTTTGAATTTTAAAGACGCGCGCTGCACTTCTCGTCCAGTCTGCGACCGCCTTAAGTCACACGTGGGATAGAAGCCACTGATTGGTTGAGAAGCTGTCACTCAAAGCTTTCCTCGGGCTGCTAGAATGAAAATCACTCACTACTCACTATAGGCCTGGGTCAAAATGGGCGGGCCCGGACCTAAAATGGGTGGGCCCAGGCCCACCCGGGCCCAATGGTAGCGCCGCGGGTGCATGAAAGTACGCATCATTCAGGTCGATCCCTGCAAACCAATCTTGCGGACGGATGCACTTGAAAATGCTTTTCTGCGTAAGCATCTTGAACGGCAGCCTGTGAAGGGACCGGTTCAGGTCACGCAGGTCCAAGATTGGTCGTAACCCACCGCCTTTCTTGGGTACAATAAAGTACGAGCTGTAGAAGCCAGTCTTTATATCGGCTGGAGGGACCGGCTCGATCGCGTCCTTCACCAGTAGTACTGCGATCTCAGCCCTCAGCACAGGGGCACTGTCCGCCAGAACACGGGTGAACTGAATGCCCCTGAAGCCTGGGGGACACCGGGTGAACTGAATCGCATAGCCGAGCCTGATAGTACGGATGAGCCAGTGAGACGGGCTGGGAAGCGCTAGCCAGGCTCCCAGACACCGTGCAAGGGGGTCCAGCACCACAGACGTACCTGGCGTGGGGCAGCCCGGCAAAATGCAGGGACACGACTGGGACGGCATAGCGGCCCGGATTGGGGTCTGAGTGTGTGGTGCAACACGTACCTGCTTTCGTCGATGGGCAGAGTGAGTGTGGCCCGGGGGCCAGTGGCGGAACAAAAACAAAAGGAAACAAAAGATTCTTCGCCCGGCCGTCCACCGCGGAAAGGAGCGGCGCATTCACCATCTTCTGAAGAGAAGTCTGATCCACCTCTGGGTCGCCCGTCTCAGGGTCATTTGCACCTGCGCTTGCCTTCTGGTTTGGCAGCGGCCTGGACAGGCGGGGTCGACTTCCTGCGGCTTGCTCCACGCTGAGGCCTGGGTGATGTTACGCTCCACGCTGAGGCCTGCTGCGGTGACTTAGCGGGAGCAGAGGACGCCACAGGAGGTCGACCTTGGCGATGAGCAAACGGAGGGTCTGCAGCCAGCGGACGGGTGGATGCAGCAGCGGTCCGCCGGGGCAGAATGTGCCGGATGGCCTCCGTCTGCTTCTGGGCGGCCGAGAACTGCTGGGCAAAGCTCTCGACCGCATCACCGAATAACCCAACCTGGGAAAGAGGGGCATCCAGGAACCGATATTTATCGGTGTTCGTCATATCCGCCAGGTTGAGCCAAAGGTGGCATTCCTGGACCACCAAGGTGGACATCGCCTGACCAACGGAACGCGCGGTCTCTTTCGTCGCCCGGAGGGCGAGGTGAGTTGCCGCACGGAGCTCCCGGAGGAGCTCTGGGTCAGAAGGGCAGGCATGGAGGGCAGAAGCTCTGTAAGCCTTCGCCGTAAGACCGAACAAAAAGGTGTATGTGGATTGCCCCGCCAAGAGGAAGCGGACGCTGGACACAGTTGCATCGCATCGGCACGCTCCACCGGTGGGACATCCACATACACCTTAGCCACTCCGCAATCGAGGGTGGTGAGGAGGGAGGAGCCACTAGGACGGCTTCTGGCAAGCTACACTCCCTGAAGGGGGTAACGCAGCCGAATCCTCATCTCCAGAGGACTGAAGCTCCCCCTCCAATGCTGCAACCGACATCTGGTCGTCAGGAGGAGCTCCAAAAGACACGACTGGTCGTCCATGAGAAGGACCAGCAGGCTCTTTTGGAGGCTCCGTCAGCGGCAGCGTTAGTGAGGCGTGAGGGGCCCACAGATATTGCCTCAACGGGAAAGCCCTCACGGTAACCCTCAGATTACCCTGGCTAAGCACCGAAGTAGGCCCATTCTGAGGTCCAGAATAAGCACTAGATCAGGGCATAGGCGAGGGGACTTCATCTCCCTTGAGGTAAGCGAGTCTTGATCTCAACGCTGCCATAGTCATATTCCCGCAATGGGAACATGAACTATTCACAAAAGCTGCCTCAGCGTGCTGAATGCCCAAACACGAGAGGCAACTATTGTGGCCGTCTGCTGGCGCCAGGGAACAACCGCATCCAGAAACGCACAAGCGGAATGACATCCTAAAAAGGACGCAGGGTCACGCTTGTGTTGCTCTTTTGTGAAGAAAAAAACAAAAAATGCTCTCTTAATGCCTTCCCACAGTGCTGAGGCACCCAGGGAATGGCTCTGTGTACAGCAGTACTGTAAACTCTTTTCAGGGAACGCCCACCGAAACCGACACAGAAATTTCAATGCTGTGAAAACAGCAGTCGTTGAGCTTGAGCTTGTGGCCCCTCACTGTTCGCGTCGTCACACCAACACTGGATACAAGGAAGGAGAGAGGATTTCTTCAACGCAGTAGCTTGAGTCTGTATTCAGAAGACCAACAGAAACTCGGCTCCGAAGTGAAAGACAATGAGTGCGTGCGCCCGCTTCCTGTTGTAGCGAATTAGCTCTTGAAATATGAAATATAGCTTAATGAAATATTAATAATCAATCATAACTTGTTATAATTGATTATGAATATTTGGATCAGTTAATCGGGTTAACTTGATGTAGCTACATTAACATTACAACCAATTACTCGGTTCATCCCGTGAACACTCAATATTGGTTATCAATTAATTAATAGAAATGTACATTTCCGGGGCATGGGAAATGTCTTTCTTACTAAGTACTACTAAGAGCAAGTAGTCAAGATCTATGATTAGTGACTCCAGATATGAGCTTGAGACACAGACAACTTTACGTGTGATATGAAAAAGACTATTAACTAGACTAAACATTTAAACTACTCTAACATACACATACATACATGCATACAGTTTGCCAAGGGAAAGAGAGCTGAAGCAGAATACAGGAAAGCAAGAAGTTATAGCATTGTTTGATGTTCAGCAGATCAACAGCCTGAGCAAACCATCAGTTTAGTTCTAACACGCCCTTCTTAAAAAGGGGTAAGGATACTTAATGTCTCAAATAATGAGACTAAGTTTGATACTTGCATGTCTCGTCCATTTGCATTAAACTGTCCGGATGCAATTTGTTGAGGCTCCAGTTGATCTTTGCTGATGTGGTCTTGATGAGAGAGAACCAGTGGGAGTCAGAGGATCTTTGGTGAATGGAAAGACAAGGCCGCAGCCTGGAGAAAGCTTGGGAGTCCTTGAGGGACTTCTAGTTCAGTATCATCTTCACATTAGGACTTCTCAAGAAGGACCAAGAGAGTTCATTGTCCGACGTTCATTGGCTCGTTCTGTAGACACTTGAAGATGATAGGACTCCCTGAAGTGATCCCAATTACGTTGTCACGTCGACGTAACATTGAACGTGAGCGACTGATAGGGAACAGAGTAAACAAAGCTAGTTCTGCATTTATCATACTGTGCTGCTTTTCTCTTTTGCTTGTTTGAGGAATGTTGTGTTTCCATAAGGATATACCTCAGTAGTTTTTTTGTAGTTTCATAATGGGACTGTAAGTTCTCTTCCTGATCTCTCTATCAGGGTTTACATCACGCTCTGTCTCTCTCTCTCTCTCTCTCTCTCTCTCTCTCTCTCTCTCTCTCTCTCTCTCTCTCTCTCTCTCTCTCTCTCTCTCTCTCTCTCTCTCTCTCTCTCTCTCTCTCTCTCTCTCTCTCTCTCTCTCTGTGACACTGGCTGGTTTGTTTGAGTGTTGTTGTTTGGCCAGCTGACACACAATAGCCGTTAACCTCCATTCTCTGCCCGCTCAGTATGCAGCTGTGTATAGTAACGTAACGCTCATGGGTGCTTAGCGTTTCTCTCTCTTACACACGTCTGATCTATGTTGATTTACATTACGTCATTCAATGTACATGTGATTTCATTCACAGTACAGCTATTCTACACACGTACAGTATATGCTTAAAAAGTAATGCAGCTTCATTTAGCCAAACTGGAAATTTGCATTAGTGATTTAACAATGTTGTGCTTCTTCTTGTTGTCCTTTGTACTTTATTTTTTTCTCTTACGTATCTTTTTTCCCCCATCATGTACTAACACCTCCCTCTGATTTCCTGTCTTCCCTCCTCGTTTTGGTCACTCATGGTAGGACGCAGGCGGAGATGGCCCATACGTGTCGTGGCACCATCAACTTGGCCACAGCGCACATCGACACAGAAGACGCCTGCAACATTGTTCTGAGCAGCGGGGGGCGCACCTATCATCTTAAAGCCAGCACAGAGGTGGAGAGGCAGAGATGGGTCACAGCACTGGAGCTGGCTAAGGCCAAAGCCATCCGAATGATGAACGATCAGTCCGGTAACAAGACTCTAATTAACATAGTTTGAGTTTTTTGAGTTCATATTTTTCTGCTGAAATGGATCGTTGTAACTGTGTAATTGTGTTGGGCTTTTAAATGATTATTGTCCCTTTAATAAAGTGGGACATGCTATATGATTCAATGATTCAGCTATAATCAACATATCACATAAAGGTTCCTAGCATCAACAGGTCATATTACAGTTGCTAAAGTTGCAAATCAGGACTCTCACTGACCATATTGACAACATGGCATCTTGTCATGTGGTTGAAACTGTAACTGAAACAGTACAGAAATGTTCTTTTGGTTCCATTTTTTAGGCAGTAAGCTTCTATCTGCTCTGAACTGACAACTAATTGTGCTAATTGAGTTGCTGCATAAAGGGTTTGAGTGGAAAATGTTTGTGCTTTTAGACAATGGCCACACAGCCCCGCTAACACACTGTTATCAGTCTGGTAAGTTGAATGGGCTTCTTACAGAGGCTTTGCATCATGTTTACAGGGTTGGTGTGTAGTTCAGAGTAAAAAAAAGGGTGTTTGCTTGCAGGAAAATGTAGGGCTCAACAACAAGGATTTTTTCTTCTTCTATTGGCCCAGCTGGGTCAGTAAATCAAATTTGTACTTGCCCTGCCATTGGATTTTTACTGGCCCCACCACAAAAAAATGTTGTTGTTTTTTTAACTAAAAGTTTTAATTAACTAAAAGCAAAATTAAGTTTTGTTTACAAGTACTGTAGTTTTTAAGTCAATGTAATTATATAATCAATCTTTGAATTAATAATATAAGATGTAAGGAAAATGAAATTATTTCATTGTAAGCAATAAGAACAGGTAATTACAAGCTATAACAAAATCTTTTCTGAATAAAACAATGAAGCATGATTTTTTTAAATATATATTTTATTGATTTTAATCTTTCAAAAAAAGGCCTGGCCAAACAATCACTGTTATAATAATATGACAACAATAGTTGACCAAAAAAATAACACCAACTATAAAGTACATTTAAAGTACAGCTCATGTAAAATAAATAAATTACATAAAATCAGCCATGACACTCAAAAGCCATACTTACATTAATCCATGATTTATCATTTTCAATTTCAACCCATTCTAAATTCCAATACAATTACACATTTTGAAAAAAACTTAATCTACTGTATGTTAGCCACCATCTGGATAACATCGAGTTGCAATGGTCAATATAACATAGAAAACTGAATATTTAAATTTGAAGATTATTAAGACTAGTGAGAATCCAGCACTGGCCTGATGAGACAAAAGACAGCTCTGTCAGCTGGTGTGAAATGATCATGCTGTTCAGGCAATCCTTATTGTTGAGACCTGAAATAATTGCATTTGGACTGGAGTGGGTCAAATAAGTTGTTTTTGTGGATTGTTTAGTTTGTGGTATCTTGTGTGGGTCACTGCTTTGCTTCAGATAGGTCAAATCTCTCTTTTCCCTAAAGATGTCTTTGCCCTGAACATTGAGCTGTCTAATGGGTGGTAATAGTCTTTGGCTTGAATCACATAGATCTGTTCATACTTCTCATTAACCGAGTGCTGAACCAGGCTAGATGAGATGGTACTGCATGGAGCATGATTTTTTGCATAAATCAAGCGTAGCATTAGTTCTGGCAGGTCACGTTAGTCAAGCGGGCATCAGCTGACTCTCAGCTGATCCACGTCTACCTATAGGAATACGACGCCTATCACTGTATACATATATAAGCTCCTTCAGTATTATCAGCAGCTATCGCGTTTCTCAGGAGCTAATTACCCTCCTCCATCCCCAGCTCCTCCTCTCGCCCAGTCAGGATTTGGCATTCTGATTCCCCTTGAATCAGACTAAATTCTCGAATTACAGTATGTTGTACTTTTTAAAATCTTGAATTATTGATATCTGCATACATTCATGTTGGTTCTGTTCTGTTTACCCTAAGGGGGGTTATTGCTGCTCTCCCTGCTCTTATCCATGCTAGGTTGCATAGATGCGCAGGGAGTTCTCGCCTAGAACGGTACCATACCGCCAATCCAAACTATATGCTTATGGTCAGTCATATTTGACGATAGTGGTCCTGACAGAACAGTGCTATTCATTCAAATTTTGAGATTCCAGTTCTGGCCCCCAGAGGACATGTTTACATGGACTGCAAGACTCCAGCTATTAACTACTTTCAAACTGAGAGTTGGGTATAAACAACGTACAGCATTTATTACTCAAAAACCTCAAATGTGAATGGCTGTATAAATGAAAGAATTTTGAGTGTCTTATTTAGAATAAGGTCAGTATTATTGCAGTCAATGTAAATATTGCCTTTGCCTCCTATTATGCAGCCCACTCTTGGTTTATGAAAGACAAGTCATTATTTAGCCATTATTTCCTATAGTAAAGCTTTTGCTGCATGTGTTTACAGATACAGTACTTGTTCACTTCCTTTCCATGAAAAAATCTGCAAAGAAAAAATGATCATTGTCATCCCAGGGCTCAATGTCATTGTAATTGAACTCTTGGGTCAAGCTCTAAATGTTATCATACAAGACAGTAGGAATCACTCAGTGTGTTGTGTTAGTTTTTTGGCAGTACTCGGGGGTCAGAGCAGGTCAGCACGTTCGCCTGTTACAGCGCTGTCCTATATTTGAGACCTGAAACGCTCCTCTCCTGTGACACACCAAGCTGTCATTGAGCTCCTGAAGCAGATGGCTTCTGCTTTTGATTAGAACGTGTGTTTTATTATCTCGCCGCTGCAGATGTTAACCATACAAAAGTGTTTATTAATTTATATCTGACATAAAATAAAATACAAATATTTTTTATTTTATTCTTTTTTACGTTAAGATATTTAGAAGTGGGATAAAACGGGGAAAAGGAGTCTTCTGCTTTAACCAGTTCACCACAAGGGGGCAGGAGTGCTCATTTTGGCACGTGATTTCAGTTCTCATGAGAACCTGCAGCGCTCACATGACAACAGAGCTCTTTTTAAAATGTTTCTCTCTAATCTCTCTTGTATGTCTGACTCTCGTCCATATGAAACACTGGCTTTGCTCCAGCCCCCTCTCTTCATTCCATTCCAGACGCTGCCCACTCTTTCCTCACACACACAAACAAACCCAAGCTTTCTTTTTTTGCGGTGCACTGGCATTCTGTGTATTCTGTCTATGTGAGCATTATGTGTGTCAGTAAGAATGACAGACTGAATGCTGATGATGTATTTTGTGTTTGTGGCCAATCTCTAACAATAATGATTCATGCCCATTTTCTGTGTGCCATGTATTAGCATGAATGGTTGGTCAGTAATAAATCATGTTCAAAAGAACAAATAGTCAGGGTCAGTAAAATCACCCTGAAACCTCCCCAGCTTCCACTTACTTTGACATTTACATTTGGAGAAGTACACACAATAAACGTTGGACCCTTTCATTAAAGACTATATAGATTATATAGCTTGCTTAAATCCAAAATTACAAAATTAGTGTGATGGAAAGTCCAGTTATTCCAGTATTCAGTGTCACATGATCCTTCAGAAATCATTCTAATATTCTGATTTAGTGCTCAAGAAACATTTCTTATTATTATCAATGTTGAAAACAGAACAGTTGTGCTGCTAAATACTTTGTGGAAACTGTTTTTGTCAGGATTTTTTGATTACAGTTTATTTTTAAATAGCTTGCACACTAAAAGTGGTCCTACTTGAGGCCTACTCAGTAAACCCATTCACTCATATACCTAATATTCAGACCAAGTCTGAAAACTGTACAGTTCTCTACATTAAACCCATCATTTAAAACTAACAGCTCTTGTGTTACATTTGGAAAACACTGCCATTTAAATGCCACACTCATTTACCAATGATCATGTGTGAAAACACTTTTACCTCATTTGTTCACTTAGAAATCAAAACTCAATGTTTTGAGAAAGAAATTATTTTACTCCCTTGCATTTCTGTTTTTAGTGTAAATATCCTCTTAACCAGCGCCCCATTTTTTGAGAATTTTCTGAAAATGACATACCCAAATACAAATGTCTGTAGCTCTTAAACCCTATGGTCCACATTCATAACTCTGATCTTTTTTTAAACTAGACACTTGAAACTTTGTTACCCAAGAGTCATTATTACTCAAAGTAGCATAGGAACAGAGTAAAACAAGGTAAAATTTACATGAATGTGACTCACGATTTCTTTTAATTAACTTCACTTAGGGAAAAAATGATCAGACTTTTATGTTAAGGGCCTGAAAACACCATAAAGATAAAATTGAATGTCTGACCATGTTTAGATTCAAATTTGAGGATGATACTCCCAAAAATGTAGCTTCTGTAAGCTTTTATTCAAGAAAAGTATAGGCGTCCTTTCCAAAATGCAATTTGGAGACTCCAAATGGACACCTGGCACCCAAACACTTTACATAGGGAGTAAACACTATAGGTCTGCAACAACAATTCAGAACTGTTATGCCCTTCAAACCACACAAGAAAAAAACGATTTCAGCACAACATTTGAACATTTTACCAAAATTATCTTTATTTTGAACAATTCTAATAGCAAAAACAGTGATTTCTCACTACATGTATAGACATTGCAGAAGTGTTCATTTTCCAACTAATGTATAAAATATATAAAAAGAAAAACATAAATGTTTTAGAACATTTGTAATTACAAACGTGGTTTTTACCCAAATAAATTGCAATAAACTGATACTTATAATGAATATCCTATTACTTCCTGTTGCTCTTCGTCATTTTCTGCAAAAAAACCTTCAAATCTCTTCTGTAGTCGACGATCCATGATACAGATGCTCAGATATAAGCTTTAGAGTAAATCCGTGCATTTATGCAAGCTCCATGTGTCAAAACATCGCGTTTATGTGTCTGTTTACATTCTGGTCGGCTAACTATGTGTGTGCGTGCTGCGCGCGTGGCGAAAGCGCACATGTGAATGAAAACTTTGCGCAGTTAAATTTGACGAATGTGCTTGCATGAACTGTCTATCACTGCAATCG